ATTTCAACTCATTTTTATCATTTTTACCACTTCTTCAATGATTTGATGTCACGGCATGCATAAATGTATTAGTTCTGTAAATATCAGTGTTAATTTTGTAAATAACAATATTTCCAATGTTTTATACGTACTTACTTGAATAAAAATTAAAGAATACCAATCAAACATTTATGATTCTGCTAAATATTACGGCTATGTTTGCAACTCTATACTTAAACTGGAGAAATATTTGCGTACGTATGACGTACGCAGTGCTGCGTAGGTCAGAGAGGGTATTGGGGGTTATATCCGTGTTATATTCTCAGTAACCTCTCAGTAACCTACAAATCTAAAAAAGCAAAAGTGCCGATCTTACTAGAAGGTACAAATGAGGTTACAGGAGGTATAATATGAATATAACCCCTCAATATTCTCTGAATAACATCTCTGATGTACGTAACACTGCATACGACTTACGTACGCAAATTTTTCGGTGGAATAAATAATGTGATGCATTCACTTTTAGTATATTTATTTTTCTATTATTAAATTTTCTGACAGCATTGTTTGAAATAATATATTTCAATAATTATTTGACGCAAACCAGCAGCAATATTAAATAAGACGGTGACAACAATGTTGATCTTGCCGCCATTTATATTATTCAAGTGAAATTAGGCAAACAAAAATCAACTTTTTTTGGATTATTTATATAATATTATAAGTAACTTTTTCTTGAATGGAAACGTAGTTTAAAATTGGAAGATTTACATACATACCACTCAATTCCTATATATTTAGGTATCTAACATCTAAACTTTAATTTATATATATATATATATATATATATATATATATCTCCCCAGGCGGAAAAAAATTATGTCCCCGCCCGCTCTTTTGTATAGCGATTTATAGATAATTAAACCTTATATATATATATATATATATATATATCACCTTATCTATGTCCGAAAATATGTATTTAACCTTTTAAAAGTCAAAATTGTTATATTTTTTATTATGATCCGTTGGTGCACTCGGGGGAAAGACTTTAGCACACCTAGTGTAGTGATAGGGTTACTTCTGGCACACAAGTTCTTAAAGATGTCGAAGGGTTCATAAGAAAATTAGAGCAATGACTGAAGTATGCATCTTTACAACATAAACTGACACATAGACTGTAGCTCATCGTCAATGCATGATTTTTTGTCGTTTGATGACTCGATATCCTCTGTCACTTCCCCCCATCAAGAGGCCAACACGAATTTCTTCTTGTTGATATAGATTATTATTCCAAGTTGATCGAAGCTAAGGTGCTCGCACAAATCACCGCAGAGGCTATTTGAAACTTTATTTAAACGGATTTGATCTATTGTTAGAGGCTGCTATTGACTATCATAACAGATAATGAGAAGTAATTTATCGAATAGAGAGTGAAGGATTGATGCCAAAGCTAATGGATCAGATTGAATTTTGCATCCATGCATCACCCTCTGACAAATGGGCAAGCTGAAGTTGCAAACAAGATTAACTTGATACTGCTAAGGAAGAAGGTTAAAGGAGCCAAGGGAAATCGGCCAACGGTTCTCTTGTCTGTTCTCTAAGTTGTTTAAACAACACCTTCTACGACGATAGGAAATACCCCATTGATATTGTCACATGGGATGGAGGCATTGTTTGTGATCAAGCATAATCATCACAGCTAGAGAATGGTGACAGGCTCAACGTTCAACAAAACAGAATTAATTGAGTGGTAAGAGCCAAATGACGAGAAAGTGTTGTTCATGCTCGACCTTGCTAAAGAGAAAAAAGTTGATTGAGCACTTCAACAGAATGAGTGAAGAGGCGAACGACTCAATATTATAATAGACATATCAGAGAGAATACCTTCGCCGTCGGGACCTTATGTTGAAGAAATTTGAACTAGTCGAGCGAGGACAAACTATGGGAAAGCTCAAACAGACATGGACCGGGTCATTCATCATTGACAGTGGGTCATCCCCAGGGCATACAAACTAAAAAACTATACAGGGAAAGAATTCCCTTAGACATAGACCAAACGACCTAAAAAAAATTTTCTTAGAAAAATTATGTATCTCGATATGCAAAAAATTGAAGTGTTATTGTTCCAAACCTTCCACTCGTTTGTTAGTTACTTGAAAGATTTGTCAAATAAGATTTTGCTAATTGTACACACTATCACAGGTTCGGCCGATACAATGAAATCGAGTAGTTCATGGAAGGGATTGTCAAAGTCCAACTGACACTCCGGGAACTCGAACCAACCTTTCTATAGTGGTTTCACTCGAGCAACAAAACCGACAACGACACATGACATACGGTCAGTAAATATTTTTCAAAACCGACATTGACGCACGTCGTCTGATCGTTAAACTTTTTTTCAAAATTGACAGTGATGGATACACGTATAATCGATAAAAATTATCTAAAATTGTCTAATCAGCAAAATGTACTAGAACCAACCCACAACGTTCATGCATCACAAAAACCCATGTCTCTTAATATAAAGAGGGTCTGGCTTTGGCGGTGATTCCCTACTCTTTAGAGGCAAGATCCATTGTGGGTAACGTACGAATCACCCCAACAGCAACTCCCACTGCCCACAAAGGTTGCAACAAGGCTCATTTAATATGTCTAATGTAAAGTGTGGACCGTACAAGATAATAACCTAACCAAGCGAACGAGAAATGAGAAGTATAAGACTTGAACCGAACAGTAATTCAACAAAATCAACTGAAGACATTCTTCAAAAAACTGATCTTTCAATTATCACAAACACTAATCACAAGGAAAATAAATGTGTTAAAGGTAAAATGTATAAAAATGAAAATGAAAGCTTTGCTTTATTTCTTGATTTAAAACTTTCAAGGATTTTTCTACATGTTTTTGTACAAAAATTTTCTTATGTGTTTCTGTATAAGTGTTGAAAGAATAAGAAAAAAATTCTATAAGTACAAATGAAGTCTAAGACGAGATAAAAAATTGAAAACTCTTCATTATCTTCATCACTATCCACCTCTTTCTTGCCCTCTGATTCTGAAAGTGAAGTAGTAAATTTGTTCAGTTCAATCCACTCGGAGGAGACCATCTTTGTCTTTATTATTCAACAGACAGCTAAGGACACTCCAATTCTGACCTATGCAACGAGGAGCTCCACCAGCCAAGGGTGGGAAGAAAACTCAACAAAGAGCTAATCAGACATCATCATTGTCAACATCTTCCCCTTCAGGGCTCAGTTCTCTCTCTGAGCATTCGACAACAACTCTGACAATTTGAGCACTTCAGCTTCAACTGCCATTGCATGATTTTTTGTCGACTTCACCATATCCTTTTCGAGTCCTTTAAATTGTTCTTCATCCCTAGTAGCTAGAACTGACCCACAAAGTCAAATTGGATTTAGTCATCCTATCCTACTTAGAACAAGAATAGATATGTGAAGTGCTCTGTCGACTATGGAATTCTTGACCAGCGATAAAAGATAATGAAGGTCATAATAATGGCAATGGTGTTTCATAGGATATGGGTAGAGATGACACCACAATGGTTGAAGATGGCATGTAACTCATAGAAGAGAGATAGCCTTAAACCATAGTGAAATTGATCTATATAGAAGACGAGGTCAGACCCACATAAAGTAGTCACTGATCATCATATGGATGGCTCGAAGTTCCTCATCAGGATCAATAATTAACAATACAATAAAGAGTCTTATAGACATTCCTCGTGCTCCCCTTATTTAAGAACAAGCTACCCATCGGGTTACGGTGATTCACCCTCTGCCAGATGGTCTAGTGTAGCTCTACTGACAAAAGCTCCTCATACGTGAAGGGATCGAGAGTCTACAACCAGACTAGATCAGTTTATCGACAAGCCTAGTCGAATGAACCTATTATATCGACTCGAAGTCAAATAAGCTCAACCAACTGACAACATCAATGAAGCCTTGTCGTCTGAACCAGCCCAGCCAAATTTAGACCAAACAAGATCAACTAACCGAGCCTGAGATTAGTTGAGTGATAGACTCATATATGTAAAACACATAGAATATTCTTTCCCCTATAAATAAAGATATTATTTTATGATTAAAAAGATAGACAACGTATTATTGTTCATTAGTGCGCACTCTTCTCTTTGTCCCTCTCTCTTTATCTTTCTCTCATTTCCTACGCTCTACTCCTTTAGGTGTGATTCAAAGACAAATCACAATTCAATACTTGGAATCAAAATCTCTTCATGTGTTTTGTTTGAAAGCTAAGGTTTATTCTTTGGATATGTGATTTCAAAATTAGTTTTCCTACAATTTTGGGTTTAAAGGTTTAATTTTGAAAATGCAAAAGAATTGAGTGGTATGTATATTGCTAGGAATCATACTAGGAAATAATTTATTCCTACGAGAAGTTATGAGGAATAAATTATTTCCTTAGATTAAGGAGATTTTTTTTTTCTTATTTAATATTTATTTCCTTGGATTAGGAATTATTTGCTTTCCTAGTTTAAGTTTTCCTATTTTTTTGTTATTTTCTATATCTCCTAACAATCAATATGAATTGATTATTAGTGATATTAACTAATATGTCTTTCCTTTCATATCATATTCTTTTTATCATCTTTTCTATCTAGGATTCATGTAAAGATTATTTAATCCCTCTTTCATATGAATGAAATTATTCTTTATTCTGCATTATTCTAAATTTCAACATATATAAATCTTTCTTTTTTTTTTTTTTTTACAGATAGCGAAAATTAATGTTGTATAATTTTCATAACACATCCTCTTATTTCAAGTAATACTTAGAAATTATAAATTATGGACCAAATTGAACTTTTTATCAAAACAAGTCATATTTATTCATAAACAATTATCTTCTATCACACAAACATTGATATTTTTACTTTCTAACAAATATATTGAACATCAAATAGGTATATAATTACCTTCGGAACTTATTTTTGATTAATTATTACGATAGACATTAATGAAAAATAAATAGAAACTGGTGCTAGTCAGCCCTCAGAGTTTCAATCTTTGACTTCCCACACGGACCTTCATTCCTCAAATATAATCTGTATGTGTCGTATGTCGTAGATTTGTACAGTGAGGGTCGAACCGGGTTCACAAGCTCTTGAGCCGGTCCAATTGGTACATCACCCTTTGGGTTGTAAAAAAAGGCTACTGAAAGCCGTTCTTCGGCCGAATTAACAGTCACACGATGCTCCACGCTCTTGTATATTGCATTGCTCAGCACCTAAACATATATGAACATTTATGCAAATATAAGTTTTTTTTTGTTTTTTGCAAATTATATAAATTCAATCAATTGTAAAAGATGCAAATAATGAAAATGATTCGGTTTCCATGCATGAAATGAAATGCATGTTTCATGCATGGGTAAGATGGCATGTTTGTAAGAATTGAAGTTTTGATGTTATATATGTAAATACGTAAGAAATAAGAGGAATGTATGTAAATATTCTGCGTATAATTTTTTTGTGTTGCTAAAATGATTAATCTTTTCTTGAATATTTTCATTTTGCTGTCGTTGTTAAATTCTATTAACTGAAATGGAATTATTATTATAATACTATAATAAGTGTATTTCATAATATATTATTTAAAGATATGATTTTTATTGAATTTTTATTAATCGGCAATAGGTCTTTATAGATAGATAGGAACAAGGTCAATTATAATTTGGAAAAGCACCGTATATATATTTTTTCATGCATACGATAAGATGGCATATATATGTGTGTGTGTGTATGCATTGGATACTCAGATCAATTAGTCGGGTATTTGCTTGTCAGTTGTAAGTCCCCTCTCATCTGGGATTCAAATCCTCCCAAGTGCAAGGTCTGATAATCAAATTGTTAGCCGCATTAGGGATGATCAGGGCTCGCATAATATCTTTTGGCCATTCCTTTTTGGAAATATGTATCTACCTATCTATCTATATATCTATACATCTATATCTATATCTATATCTATATATATAGATATAAAATATTATAATTTTAACTATGTTGATTATATATATATATTATATATATATATATATATATATATATATCTCATCAACATGATCAAAATTATAATATTAGATTATTATAAATATCTATAAGACTAACATCCATTTATGTCTAAGATGTTAAATAAGAATTTATTAAATACAGTTATATGTCATATTCTGGTTTCTCTTGATTATGTCCAGTAAACCAGATATATAGATGGCTGTGTGGATCGTATTACGCCGTCAGATGCAAGGCATGATGAGATCCACATCATCACCCACACTTCTGGATAATTGACATAATATTTTCTCTTCGACACTTTTGATCTTTTCTAAGGCATTTTATTTACGCATGTCACACACGGAAACACATGCCAATTTGTTTTAATTATAAGAATCAAATTGTGATTGAGACTTCGAAAACGAGTGTTTAAAAATGACATTAAGAGATTTTCTATAACAAAAATAGTTCAAAATATGCAATAAAAAGATTATTTTTTTCTTAAATATTTTGAGTGAATTTTCTTACAAACTCACCCATACACACGCTTATAAAAAAATTATAAAATATATATAAAGTACTGTAATTAACAAGTAATTAAAACATAAAAGAAGCCGACTATAACTAAACAAAACTTGTGCAATTGTTTTCAAATTGAGCCAATATGTAGAATTGTCAAAATATTTAAGAAAAATATTGGCTGTAAAATAAGTATATTCTGTTACTAATGCATTTACTTTGGTTTATATGTGAACCCTAAAGTAAATGGCCACATATATTTTCTTTTACTCTACGAATAGCATTCATATTAACTCAATTGATTTTCATATTATAATTCTACATATGATATGCTCTATAGAAGATTACAATTTATAATTACTTCCAAAATTAAAAATAAAATAAAGATAGCACGCAGTAAAACTTATAAATGGAGAAAATATTATGTTAGCCGTCTGGATGTAAGTACGGTGGCATAGATCGTATCACATCGCTCTGCACACTGCATGGTGAGATCCATGCACGGCATCATCTCATGCACGTCCAATTGTCGGAATGTAACATTTTTTCGGCTTTCATTTAGCACAACTTTTCTCTATCTTAATATGCTTAATATAATTTTTCTAAACTTTGATAAGTGTATGAATTAACAAACATCAACTTTTATTTCTACATATGATCATAATATGTGTGATGAATTTATTTTTAAGAGATAATATCAGTAAAGCTATAGCAGTTAATGCACAAAAACAAAGAAATTTAATCCAAATGATCTAAATATTAAAATTTAGTATAATTAATATTATGAATTAAATGGTAAAAGGGAGCACATTAATAAATCATAACCTGAATTTGGTCACCGAGGTTCACTATTAAGGCATCAGCCACAGGCTTCACTGTGATCCACTTATCCTCCTTTCGCACCTGTAACCCATTAACACGATAATCCGGCATGAGAACTGTTAAGCCTCCAGGGTCAGAATGTGCAGATAAGCTAAGTGTTAGACCCGGTTGAGGACATTTCGGGTAGTAGTTGACACGAATGGACGAGCCTATTTCTTCTTCACCAAAGGCTTTCCATATAAAGGTTTTATCAAGTCCTAGGTTTGTAGACAACACCTGTGTAAGTAACTTGCATAGATTCATCATAGCTTTTGAATATTCTTCTGTTATTGCGCTGCAAAAAAAAATATTAAAATAATTAAAAATAAGAAATTAATAATGGGCCATTTACATACATACCAACTAATTTTGATGTATTTACATATCTAACACCTAAAATTGATTTTTTTTTCATAATTATACCACCCAAACTAAATCCTTCATATCACATCTAAAACATCACTATTTTAACTTTGACAAAGTGAAATACACACTTTCATGCATAGATAAGGTGGCATATATGCAAAAATTTAAGTTTATGTGCTAGATATGTAAATATTTTGCTATAAATAATATACATTAATTTAAATTATTCTCATTATAAATAAACCATGGATATATATATATATATATAATATATATATATAACTTCCATTCTTTTATTACAGGCCAATACATTGTCGGCATTTAAGGTTGAAGAGATTTATAATAGTTAGTACCCAGGACTTAGGTAGCAAAATTAATTAGGCTACCTCACTTACATCATGCCTCATGCTAAATATTTAATTTACAGATTCAGACAGGTCAAATGTTCATCTTATTTCATTAATTTGTCAACAAATTATTTTGTGAAGTATATTGTATATAGGAATGAAAAATAATAATCAAATATATATATATATATATATATATATATATATATATTAACTCACCAATATAATTGATCACTTGATTAAATAAGCCTATTTAAATTCTCTTAAGATTATATTTACCTCAATAAAGGAGTAGGGACCTTTGGCCACTTATCATAGCTCCTAACACTCTCAGGAAACACCTGCAAAAAGAAGTAATCTCCCCAATCAAGAATGGCATCCTTCTTAACCCCAAGCCGGCTACCATAACCCTCGAGAGTTATCGGCGAGTTTACATAATTCATCTTCTCCTCCATGGGAAGGTAAAAGAATTCCCTCCACATTTCTCTGACTTTCGCCATTAGCTCGTAACTCACTCCATGGTTCACCACCTGGAAGAACCCCCACTCTCTGCATGCACTTGATATCGCCGACATCGTCTCCTCAGATGACTCTACCGAGCCATTCAGAAGGCATTCTATGTCGATAATTGGCAGATTTGAACTCTGGTTTATCTCATCTGAAGCGATATTAAGATTTGGTCGATCAACAGGGGGTTTGACGTATGCGTGTGGTATGGAACTGAGTCCATTTTCAGATATGGTTTGTACATGCACTAGTGGGTCGGGCCATTCTTGCGTGATATAATTCATGGTTGAGAGCTCTATTTCTATATAGAAGTGTGGTGGAAAAGAAGAGAGATGGATGAGAGTTTGAAGCTTAGGTATTTATAGTATCTTGAAGGAGGAGGAAGGATAAAGTCACCGCCTCTGAGCTGACCAAATGATGTATTTAATGGAAAGTTTACATACCTACCATTCAATTTTTATTTATTTACATATATATACAACTAGGGCTCTAAACGAGCCGACGAGCTCAGGCTGGGCTCGTGTTCGGCTCGTTCGAAATAGCTCGTGCTCGAAATCGGCTCGTGAACAGCGTGTTCGTGTTCAGCTCGATTAAAATATTTCTGTTCGTATTCGGCTCGTTAAACTTAAATTGAGAAAAATATATGTAAAGTGTGGGATTCGAACATGTATCAAATATATACAAAAGAATGCACTAACCACATTGTCACATGAGATATTATGATTTAAACTTAGACATAAATATATATAATATATTATTATATAAATAATATATATAATATATTGTTATATAAATAGTTATATAATTTTTTTTTATTTCGAGCAAAAACTAGCCGAACACGAGCGAACAATGACATGTTCGGCTCGTTTATAATTTGAGCTTTAAAAATTTGTTCGTGTTCGGCTCGTTTACTTAACGAATGAGCCGAACACGAACTACTTAATGAGTCGAACACGAGTTGTTCGCGAACAACGAGCTTTTTTGACAGCCCTAGTGGTAGGT